GCCGACTGGCTGCAGGGACCCTACCTCTACAAACTCTACCAGCACTACCATTTCCTGGAAGGACAAATCGCCATCCTCTACGTTTGCGGCTTCGCCTCCAGCGTCCTTTTTGGGTTGGTTTCTTCTTCTTTAGTAGATCGATTGGGTCGGAAAAAATCTTGCGTTCTTTTTTCTTTGACCTATTCGATTTGTTGTTTGGTTAAACTCTCCCGGGATTACCTGGTGCTGGCGGTGGGGAGGGTTTTAGGAGGGTTGTCCACGGCGTTGCTCTTCTCCGCCTTCGAGGCGTGGTACGTCCACGAACACGTGGAGCGGTACGATTTTCCGACCGAGTGGATCGCCGTCACCTTCTCCCGGGCGGCTTTTTGGAACAACGTGATCGCCGTGGGGGCCGGGGGGACGGCCGATTTCTTCGCCGAGTGGTTGGGGTTGGGCCCGGTGGCTCCGTTCATGGTCTCCATCCCCCTCTTGGTGCTGTCGGGGGTTTTCGCCGTCAAAAATTGGGATGAAAACTACGGGAAGAAACGAACTTTCTCCAAAACCTGCGGCGACGGTTTGAAGTGCCTCCTCTCCGACCATCGCGTCCTTCTCCTGGGGACCATCCAGGCACTGTTTGAAAGCGTCATCTACATCTTCATCTTCCTCTGGACGCCCGTCCTGGATCCCCACGGCGCTCCTTTGGGCATCGTCTTCTCCGGTTTCATGGCCGCCAGCATGTTGGGCTCCTCGCTTTACCGCCTGGCCGTCTCCAAGCGTTACCACCTCCAGCCCGTCCACCTCCTCTCCCTCGCCGTCCTCCTCGTCTTCTTCTCCCTCTTCATGCTCACCTTCCCCCCCACCCCCGGCCAGGAGAGCCCCGCCGAGTCCTTCCTCGCCTTCCTCCTCATCGAACTCTCCTGCGGGCTTTACTTTCCGGCTATGGGTTTCCTCCGACGGAAAGTTGTTCCGGAAAAGGATCGTTTAGGGGTAATGAACTGGTTTCGTCTCCCTCTGAACTTACTGGCGTGTCTGGGTTTACTGGTTCTCCACGACAGCGACCGTCAGACGGGCACCAGGAGCATGTTCGGCATCTGCGCGGC